ATCCATCGACTTCCTGCATATCTTACCAGGTCGTCACTCCATCTAGTGGGGGGTCGCCCTACACTACGCCTACCGGTACGAGGCTGCCACTCGAGAACCTTTCTTCCCCATCGGTTATCGGTTCTTCGAGCTATATGGCCGGCCCATTGCCACTTCAGCTTACTAATCCGTTGAGCTATGTCGGTCACTCTGGTTTTACTGCGGATATCCTCATTTCTGAGTCTATCACGCAGAGAAACTCCGAGCATAGCCCTCTCCATAGCTCGCTGAGCGACCTTGAGCGTCCTCATACGGCCAGCAGTGAAGGACCACGTCTCTGATCCGTAAGTCATCACTGGCAACACGCACTGGTTATACACTTTAGTTTTCAGAGATTGAGGTATACCTGACGAGAAGATGTGTCGTAATTTCCCGAACGCTGCCCAGCCGAGTTGAATCCGTCGATTGACCTCTCGGTCGAAGTTGGACTTACCTAGTCGGACTATTTGTCCCAGGTAAACGTACTCGTCAACAACTTCGAGCATAGTGCTCCCAAAACTACCGGCATAGGTGTGACATGGACATTAAACATGATCTTTGTTTTGTCCATGTTCATCTTAAGACCTATCCGTTGGGAGGCACTATTGAGGTCATTGAGCATAGTGCTTAAGTCTTCCAGCGATTCTGCCATAAGGACTATATCGTCGGCAAATCGAAGGTGAGTGATGTACTCGCCATTGATGTTAATACCGTATCCTTTCCAGGCCAGTAGCTTGAAAACGTCTTCCAAAGCAGCGGTGAAGAGTTTCGGGGATATAACGTCACCCTGTCTTACACCTCTCTGCAGTTGGATAGGTTTCGAGCTCTGGTTCCGTACTCGGATAGCCATCGTAGCCCTACTGTACAAACACTTCAGCACTTCGATATACCGACAGTCAACTTGGCACCGCTGAAGGGACTGCAGCACCGCCCAAATTTCGACGGAATCAAAGGCTTTCTAATAGTCCACATACGCCAGGCAAAGTGGCAAATTGTACTCTTCAGTCTTCTGTACAATCTGCCGCAGGGTATGTATGTGGTCTATGGTACTGAAGCCTTTTCGGAAACCGGCTTGTTCGGGAGGCTGGAAGTCGTCGAGTCTGCGTGCGAGACGATTCGTAATGACTCTCGAAAACAGCACGTAGACGCGGCTCAGAAGGGAAATCGGTCTGTAGTTCTTCAAGAGAGCGTTGTCGCCTTTCTTAAAGAACAAGACCACCGCACTTCTGCTCCACGCCTCTGGAGTAGTGCCACCTTGGAGGACGGAATTGAAGAGCTTCTGAAGGACTTCAAGTACCGGTGTTCCACCCGCTTTCAGAAGCTCCGCTGTAATTCCATCCTCGCCTGGGGCCCTGCCATTTTTAAGGTGCTGGAAACCCAGTCTAATCTCACTCATACTGACGTCCGGGATATCATCGGAATAGTGTCGGATAAGATCCGCTCTTGGATCGTTACTCACACTTGCGTGTGGCCCCAACGATGATGTGCACGCTGCCCAGAAAAGGCCAAAACACGGGCAGACAGACTCTCTGGCAAAGACTTTGGAGCCCTGGTTCCGCTCGATCGCTTCTTTAATACGAGCAGTATTAAAGTTGCGTAAGTCTCGCCGCATGCATTTGGAGATCTGTCTGTTCAGTTGCCTGTATGCTGTCAAATCTGTTGATGATTGCAGCCTCATCTCCCGTCTAACAGCCATGAGATTAAGAGTGTGATCGGAGAGTTTTTGTGTTCTTCTGCGGCGGGTCTTGCAGAACTTAGCTCCGACCGCATGGACAGTTTCCACGAGCTTGTCATTCATATCGTCCACTGCATTGCAATCTTGTAGGCACTGAAAGCGGTTGTGTAACTCGAGCTGAAAGTTTTCGGGATTTTGGATTAGAGCACGACGGGGACGGAGCGTTGACTTCATTAGACGAGACCTCTCCAACTTAACGTTTAGGTTCAGTGTGCCTCTAACCATTCGGTGATCGCTGCCAATTTTCACCCTTGCGATCACTGAGACATCACTGAACAGTTGGCGTCTGGTCGTCATAATGAAGTCAATCTCATTTTTTGTCGAACCGTCGGGGCTCGACCAGGTCCACTTCCTGTGGGGCCGCTTCTGGAAGAAAGAGTTCATCATAAACAGTCCCTTTTTCTCCATAAAGTCGGCCAGCTGCTGGCCCCTTCGGTTCCGTTGCCCTACTCCAAATTTCCCTAACTTCAGCTCACCGTTTTCTCTTGTGCCTAGTTTTGCGTTGAAGTCTCCCATCAACACCGTGTAGTGGGTTTTGGAGGAATGCATGGCTTTGGAAATATCCTCATACATTTCCTCCACCTCCTCATCGGAATGTGCCGAGGTTGGTGCGTAAACCTGTATGACCTTCAGCGAATACCGTTTGGTGATTCTGAGTATCAGGTACGCGACCCTCGTCGACACACTCCCTATCTTTACAACGTTGTTGACGAGAGACTTGTGGACGATAAATCCGACACCTCCTTGGGACAGATGGTCGCCCTCCCGGTGATAGAACAAGTTGCCGGATTCGAGAATCACCGTGTCCTCCCCCTCTCTTCGGACCTCGGATAATCCTATAATACTCCAGCGCAACTTGTCTATCTCTTCTTCCAGCTCCAGGATCTTCTCGTCAGTCCTCAGTGTGCGTGCGTTAAATGTTGCCAGGTCGAGTCGTCGTAGGTGGCAACCGAACCTCCACCGGAGATTCTTAGCACCCCCTGCCCCGCCGTTACCATGGTCGCCACCGTAGCCAGGAATAGCGGGGCCGCCGGGGACTGGGGGCCGTCTATTTGTGTAATTGTTCATGGGGGGTATATTGCCATAGTTGCCACGCTTGGCGAGCGGGTTGGCAACCGCAGTTTTTTTTTGTCGTACAGTTGCTGTTATCAGAAAGATGCTGCTGCCCATCTCCTGCCTGTCTCCCTCTGTCGCCTTTTACGACACCCACGGGAAGATATGGGGTAGTGGATATTCTTAACCGCCACTACACGGTCATAACGAATAGCTCAGCTCAAACCGGACAGAACCACGCTTGAAAAGAATACCTACTAGTGTTAAATAGGAGCATAATGCTGCTGTTTATCGTATGGTGAATAACGAGAATCAGAATCCTCTTTACTGATAACAAGGCATTCCGTTATAATCCACTAGTAGTTTTGATTTTCAATCGAGTATAGATGTTGACGAGTATGACGAGACGAGACGAGACGAGTATGTATGAGTGTTATGGACCTCTAAGCACATTTACTATCAGATAAACTATGTGTTCGTAAGTTGAGGTGACTTTTATCAAAAATATAATATACAATTTGCTGATTTATCTTTTCATGTTTTCGCATCTAAAGAGTCTTTTGGGGTTTACAATACTTGACAAATTTTTTCGAGGTCCATTTTGCACTTTTTAGGTTATTCAATTGATCTCGAGATGGTCTCTGTCACGTAATTGTTCAAAAGTGAGTCTTAATACTAAATGGACACCAATGTTATTATAGTTAAGATTTTAACTTAAATAATTCCGATGTTTTAGTCTACTCTAGTTAATAAGTTAATACTTGTTTAACACTTTCAATAGTAAACAGATGAACTTCAAAATCTGCTTACTTCTACCAATGAGATGAAGGTATCGCCTCTACAACAAAGAACAGGGAAGAAGCTCTGGGGGTAAAGCTACTTAATTAGGAAAAGCAATTATAATGCAGATATTATTTAAATCAGTTATTTTTTAAGTATCTTAATTATTTTACTATCTAAGCTATACAAATATTTAGTTACACCAATTAATTGACATCGTCTACAATGAGTAATAATAATTTATTTACGTTGTTACACGATTTACATAGGTAACTCATTTTAAGTAAATTGGGTGCTATGTATTTTTTTCTTCTAGTTTAATTAGCATAGTGTAATTCTGAAGTCGAGTAAATAGATGTTTTTAAAAATTTAAACTACAGCAATGTAGGTCCCACAGGTATTTATTTTAAGAGAATGTTAAGAAAAAAAGTACTAATGCAAAAGACGATCAATTTCTACTTTGATTGTTTAAGTTATTTAGAAATACATATTAGAGACTGGTACAATACATTCATTAACTATACATTTTTTTCTACAAAATTATTTATATTTCTTATTATAACTTTCAAATGCACTAAACAAAAAAATATTTTAATTTCGAGAGCAAACCTCGTCGCTATTTTTGATTTAACAAAGCAATAACAATCTGAAAAAAATTGCCTTAAGGCACCGGAAAATTAAGACTAGAGAAGATATTCTTTCTACACAAATAAAAATCTTTTCTTGTAAATTATTCGAAATTCTTACAATAGAAAAACCAACTACTTTGATAGAGGTTTACATAAGGAGAACCAAATTTTAAATGTTTTAATACAATACTAATATAGTACATGAGGGTAATATGGCCATCCTGTTAATATGGTCGCTTTCTTATATCGCCTTGTTTGCATAGATGTCTCTATGATACGATAGCTCTTCATCATTGCAAAAATAATAAAGGGTCAATAAGGCGCTACTTTACCTATGCCACTTTGACCGTTGACATTATAGTAAATATTTTATCCGATTTTAGTATTTTGTTGTGTAGTAAATATTTTAAGTTGATTTTTCAGTGTTCCTAATAATTTCCAAAGCTTGTATGCTATTATTTTCTTAATATATTATTTATAGTGTACGACTTTGTATTTTTATCTCTGTCCTCCTCCTAATTTTGGTTTTATAGGAAGGTAGAGCTTAAGGTGACCATATTACTCTTACGTGCGTTGTAGTAAATTCATGTAATAAATTCATAGTTTTTTTTTTTTGGTAGCTTCATTAGTTAAATTCACTTATTGCTTTCTCTTGTGAATCTTGATTTAAAACTTCACAACATACGTTATTCACATTTTTACACTAAATTATTTTGCAAAAATTTTGCATGTTGAGGAAAAAAAAAATAATGCTATGTATGTTTAATATAATTTACACAATGATATTATACAGACGTAGTGATTTGTTCTATGAGATGATGTTCACGACGATTGCAAGGAGTTCTACAGGAAGCCGACCGGTTCCACGTACTACTGCATTTAGCTAGACCTTCCGGAACACTTCGAGATGGCCGAAGTGCATAACGACGGCAGCAATCGGGATAATTAGCAGCCGAACAGCAGGTGCGGTTAAGAGGAGCAGCATATGATAGAGATTTGGGAAGGCGAGAAGTGCAAGTAGAACTAGGCCATGCGCAATATGCTGTTGCCCCGCCAGCACTACATGCGCACCACGCAGGCTCACAACGTGGTGGTGTCATACAAACACATGCTTCAGTAATAGTAGCTGGAGCTGCTGGTGTTGGTGGATCTGGTTCCCTTTTTGAAAATCCCACAAAGAATAGCATTAAAGCACCAGCTAAAGTTGCAGCCGTTGAAAAATAAAATCCGGCTCGTGGCGCCTGTTGATTTATGTAGCCTGTTACTGGCACTCCCACTATAACTGGAAGTGCTTCCGCTCCTTGGACAAAACCTATTTAGGAAAAAAATCAACTAAGTTATTTTTAATGCGTGTTACTACAACTAACTGTACAGATTTATACGTACTCCACACTTTTGTAAAATGTCGGCCTCGCACCCTTTCCATTGTTAACATTTTTATCGAATATAAAAATCCCCCTAAACATAAACCGTACATCCAAGCGAAGAGAACGTAACCATGGTAACCTTCGACGCTACTTAACGCGAGCATTGAAATTCCTGGAACAATTTTTATACTTAGAAGTGCTAACAGTAATATAAATGTAAGCAAACAGGATTTATTTTCTGTTCATACGTACCTATACCTAACAAAGCTGTTTGGCATAAATATTGTTTTGAAACTAGACACTGTGCTGATGGTCTTACTAAAACTAGTCCAAAACCCGCGCAACCAAGCACAACAGCAAAACCCAAAAAAGTTTGCAATAAGACCAGTGCACTTTCTTCTAGCCCTTCTTGTAAACCTTGTAGTGCCTATCAGGGAAAATATTTTAATTAAGTTAATATTATTATAATTTTAAAGATAATATCATTAAAGTTTAAATATCCATATTTTGAACTCTTAAATTTTACGTACCAAAAAGAATACTGGAGTGTAGAGACCAAACGCTGCCAAACCTGTAGATAACGACAATACTTTTGCAGGCCGAGAGCGAAGCGAACTTAAATCAATAAATGGTGCGTTTTTTAGTAACTTCTTTTCTTTTACCTGTTTGAAAATATAACATTTTAACTGTATATTAAAAATCAAACTTAAATAAGTCATAAAGTAAGCAAAACGTTATGAATAATTAACATAAATGTAATAAAAATATATTCTCGTACGATTTATTTTATTATCAGTTTTACTTAAAACATTTTAACGCGCACTTAAATTCATTCTGTTGTGTTAGTTGAACTTATTTTCATTATTTATAGTATATTGAGGGTCGCCAGAATAGAAGTAAGAAAGAAAACCATAAATCATCTCATAGGGTATGATAGATATTTGTCAAAGTTACCACGCTTGGCTGGCCAAATAGCATCCACAGATTTTTAGCGTTTGAGTTTATATCATGAAGATGCTGCTGCCATTCTCTGCTTCATTTCCCTCTGTCGCTTCTAAAAACACCCACGACATAATATTATGATTATATTTTATGCTTATTATGATCATTCAGTCTATAACTCGTCCGTAACAGTGATATCGTATGTACAAATCATAATTTTAAAGATATCTTTTAAGCGACAGTAGCTTAATAGCAGGGCGCGGACCGCCAACTACAAAAGGTCGTGAGTTTGAATCCGCCATTCGACTACTGGCGTAAACCACTCGTAACACAAGAAATTTAAGATTACCATTTACCAGATTAAGGGGAATATTAGTAATGTTTTGTAGCATTGTTAATATTCTTTAAAAAATATCTTGATTCATCGAAACGCAAATGTATCTCGGGGCTTACATAATTCCATTCATTACAGTCTATATAAGTCCATATAGACCTCACCATAGATTTCGTCATAGAGGTGAGTTTCCATAGTTGCCAAGCTTGGCAGAGTTTTGTTTTCTGTTTACGTCAGAGAGGTGCTGCTTCCCATCTCCTGCTTCCATTTCCCTCTGTCGCCTCTTACGACACTCACGGGATGATATGGGGTAGTGGATAATTCTTACACCTCCACTGCACGACAATGTTTCTTAATAATATCATGATGATGATGACACTACACGGTATTACTTAATAATATATTTTATATAAAATCTTGATTTAATATTTTTTAAACTTGGCGATAGACCAACTTAGTTTAATTTCGTGATTAATATCGAAATATAATACTGATAAATAAAAAAAAAAAAAAAAAAAAAAAAACAAAATTAAAATTTTTGTGTCTTAAATCTGTCTGGGTAGATATGAATAGAATAGTAGTAGTAGAGATCACTTACTTAGTTGTCACCATGCAGCATCATCAAGTGGGCTGCTATCTCGTTTTTTTTACTTAAGCCGTTCGTTAATATACAGTTATAAAATGATAAACTGAAAAGATAAAATACTCTTAAATCTGTTTACCTTTCGTCTCTGATTCTTAAGATGTTGAATAGCTCGCCGCTGAGGATGGTATAAAGAAGCACTCCGATATACGGCGCTTAGAAAAAATGCTAAAACTAGTACTATAGTCACTGCTTGCAATCCCAATCGCCATCCAAGTTTACTGTTGAAATAATTGTGCGTAATTATGATTTAAAAAATAACTTGGTTTTTATTCATTTAGTTTTAATAAAATTTTAATATTAACCCAAAACTAATTTTTCATTTTAAACAATTTTCAGGGTTTTATTTCCTATGTTATTTATTTTAAAACAATTTAAAATGTAAATATCTGCTTTCATCTGAAAGAAATGAGAAATTATCCCGTTTGATTTCGTAGAATATTGTTATTTTTAAACTGGTAAGCTTTACATTACTTAAAAACTTTTTACTTTCAGATCATTTACATGTTTATCTGAAAGTTTTAAATTGACAAAAATACTTCCTTGCTTACCCTACAGCTTCTTTATATGCGACACTAAATAGAGCTATACCAACGCCACCGCCGGCGTGCGCCACTAATTCCACAAACTGTCGACGCCGACGAAAGTATGCTCCAAGCACCAAACCAGCGGACTCACGAACTAGCCCACAGCCTACTCCAAGGACTATCCCTGATAAGAAAACCATTTTTCGATTAGTCAGTAAAGGTGAAATCAAATTATTGAAAATTATATGTGTAACTTAAAAATATTTTGTATGTATGGCGCATATAGAGCCGTTACGAATTGAAGAAACGCTAATATTAAATAAAGATACTTTACATGCATATGACCAACCATCTTAATGTACTTTCATGATATTTTATAATAACTTAAAGTACGCAATGTACAGATATTATCAGGAAAGTGCATCGAAAAATTTTAAAAGTAAAATAATACATTTAACACAAACCATAACTTAGTAATGTTTGATGTAGTTGGGTAGCGAAAGAAGTAAAGAGGCACGCTAGAGGCAACAAAAGACCTCCTAATAAAGCAGCTAGCCTTGGAGATCGTTTCCGCCCTGCCACCAATGCACCTGCAGCTCGCGAGACACCAACGCACATCGCTCCAGCCCAAACTGTTAATAAAGGAAAACTTCATTCTTATATCGTGCGGCTATTCTGTCTCCAAGAAATCATTTATTATTTCTTTTTATAGGATAGGGTGACAAACACAATCCACCTGATGGTAAGGTTGCTGTGGCCCATGACATCTACAACTGTCCTCGAATCAAAATGCAGATGCGTTGTCACCCGTGAGGACTAAGATGGAATGCCTCGTTTCCAGTAAAAAGGGTCTCCGGTTCTCTACACTCACCATACGAAATACAGCAGCATTAATCTACTATTTCACGCTGGTATTCTGTGAGCGTGGTCCCTCCCCGGTCGAGCCGACCCATTCGTGCTACAACTATACTACTAATATAACTGCAGCATGCCTCTACCACGTAAGCATTCCTTATTTCTTTCTTCTTTTTTTGTCATAGAATAAGGTAGATAAACAACCGATGATTGAATGCTGTAGTCCATAGACATCCAAATGTGAATCAAAATCTAGATGTGCCGTAACCCCCGAAGACTTAGTTGGAATGCCATCACCATTCGAAACATAATTTTAATCTGATACTCTGTGAGACAGTAATTCTTTCCTAGTCGAACGCCAACCCAATCATGTTATAGCCATAAAAAAGCAAGAGTGAAAATAGCTCTCACCATGTAGACATCCAGTAATTTTTTATTAAATGATATGCTAATACGTATATTTATCAAATAAAAATAACAAAGACAATGTACGTCATCACCAATACAGCCCTTCAAAAGTCCATTGCTGAACATGGGCCTCCCCTGCCACAAAGCACGGTCCTGATCCAACCTCCATCGACTTCCTTCATTTCTTATGTGGACATCAGCCCATCTAGTGAGAGGTCACCCTATTCTTCGCCTACCAGTACGAATCTGCCACTCGAGAACCTTTTTTCCCATTGATTTTTGATTTTATACATTTGATATTATTTAATAGCGCCAGTAGATCATATGGTAACATAGTAGTTTCTGTGTGTTGGCGATATGTGAGAATATATTACCCCATTTTGCTTCATATAAGTCGTAAATGTCGACTTGACGAACTTAATGGAAAATCTTAAGGGGTATGAAAAATAAAATAATCTTAATGAAATATAAAAATAGATGACAAGACGCAATGATTGTCAATTTGTCTGCCTTATGTAACATTTAGGACTATTTTCCTGATTTGGGAAAAATATTTTTCAAAGAATTTACTGATTGCGGATTATTCTCGTCGGTAATTATTGTTTTTATGGATGATTGCGTGGTTCAATGGAATATATATTAACAACCCTCGTTTCAGAAGCACAAACCTATAGGAATATCTATTAAGTTTTTTGTGGTATAAGCTAACGCAAAAATTTGTTAAAGCTTATTATGTCAATAATATTTTAACATCAATTACGTTTTGGTTTATATTCAAATAAAAGCATGAACTGTGACTTTTTTTGAAGCAAAAACTAAAATACATACAAACCGGGGGACGACTTCCCCCCCTCCAGCGTACCCCGAAACCGGGAAATAATAAAAATAAATAAAGTAATTAAACAAAAATCCGAAAAATTATAAAATCATTATGCAAAAAACTTAACATAAACTTTCAATTATTATTTGAATATTCGTCCATTATGCAAACAATGTGTTTAGTGTTTTAACATTATATTATATCTGAAATGAAACGTCTCTATTAATATTTTGTGTTACAGCAACCAATTATTTAGGTCATGTGTATATACTTTTTATATTAGTAACTACAGTAAATTACGAATATGAATATATACGAGGCAATGTCTTTATTAAACAACAATTTTATGACTATAGCTCATAAATTGCTTGCGGATTATTCTATTTATATTTAAGGACCAGCACTGTAATAGTATCTCAATGCGATTTTTGATAATTAGGTCATTTATTCCTGGTCGTTTATTCAAACATGATTAACGTGCTCTTTACTAACATTATATTAGTTAATTTTAAATATCTACCTAAAAGATTATAGGTAAACATGAGCCATATGTAAAAAAATTGGTTTTAATAAAAGACTGCGTAAATTTCTCGTACGTTTTAGATAAAAAATAGCTACGGAATAAACATTTGGAAGCTATATTTCGTTTATAAAAACTAAAGTGATAACGAACTTACAGTCCACCTAAGTGTAAGCGGCTAGTGTTATCTATGAACAACTGCAACCAACCTCAAACAAAAACTTTATTTTGACCTGATGGCATGTGGTTGCTGTGGCCAATGAGCTCTATCTCTCTATCTATCCTCGACTCAGAATCAAAACTTAGATGCGTTATTGCCTCTGAGGACTAAGACGGAATTCCCTGCAGCTCGTAATTATACTAAATCTTTCTATATCCTTCAGATAGAAATACAGTAGTGCAAGTACTTCTATTTGTCGGAAATAGGCCTGCTAGAAAGAAAAGTACACCTAGCAGCTAGTATCAAAAACGCAATTCAAAATTAATTTGAATATATATTTACTCTGATACTATAATCGTTATTCTGCCTGATGGCATTTATGGCTAATACCTCCCGTCACCTTATCTCTATGAAGTAACTGTAACTTGTTTGTGCAGAAAGAAAAAATTAAAAGAGTCATTGACAAGGTGAGGTCTGAACACAACGTCAGAATTGGCGAAAAGCTAGTACGCCTTCCTTCGGGAACCTGTGCATTCTGGTCTATCGCAAATTTTGTCCAAGGAACTTCTGTCAGCCATATCTTTCATCTCTGCATAGTGATGACGAATCACTAGCCTATGCTACTAAGGAGAAAGCCGACCTGTTAGACTCTCTCTTTGAGTCCAACTCAACTCTAGGTGATGGGGGAACACAACGCCGCCCATCCGCGTTGTGAGTTCTCCATGACAAATATGCGGTTTACACAGCACTCGATTCACAAAGTACTCCTCTCCCTGGAGCTCAGAAAGTTAAGTATGCCTGAAGGGGTTCCCTCCATTGTGCTAAAAACCTGTGCTCCTGAGTTGGCACCGGTTTTATCGCATCTTTTCCGATACTCATACTTCCAAGGCGTAGACCCAAAATCATAGACATAGACAGCTTTGGTCTATCCGATTCCTAAAAAAAGTGACAGCTTGGATCTGTCCAATTACAGACCTAACGCCATCACCTCCTTGTTCTCCAAAATAATACAGTCCATTATAAACTGGCAGCTCATGAGGTACCTAGAGGATCACCAGCTGATTAGTGACCGGCAATATGGTTTTCGTCGTAGTTGATCAGCTTGGGATTTTCTGGTCTACCTGACTCACAGATGGGCGGAGGCAGTAGAGTCAAAGAGAGGAAGGGGGGTATTGCCCGTTAATTTGGACAAGCGAAGACCTTCATTCGGGCCTGGCACAAAGCTCCCTTCCTATGGGCTTCTCGAGAAATTGTGGAATTGGATTACTAGTTTCCTTGCTGATCGGAGCATCAAGGTCGTAGTAGACAGTGCAAGCTCTAATTAAAAGCATATTAACTCTGGTATTCCACAAGGCTGCGTGCTATTCACCAACGCTGTTTCTTGTAATGTTTCGTGATAATATATTCTAAACTGGTAACATTCATTGCTATGCAGACGAAAGCACTGGTGATGCCTTATACCCTGGCCGTCTCAATATATCTCGGAGAAAAGTCTTTGAGTACCGGGACCAAATTGTGTCTAAAGTCCAGTCTTTGCGAGGTTGTCACAAGTTGCGCGTTTACCACTCAAAAGAACTCATTTGTCGTATCTTCTCAATTTCAAAGCAGTCTTCTTGCTGCCTCAGATAGTATCGGAAATTACGGCATCAACATATCAAATAGTGTTCAGTTTCGTGGTCATTTAGAGAGGAAGGCCAAATGGGCCTCTAAAAAGCTTGGCGTGCTCAGCAAAGCGAGACAATATTTCATGCCGGCACATTGCTTGTAACTTTACAAAGCGCAAGTTTGGCCTCTTATGGAATACTATTCTCATCTCTGGGCCGGGGCACCTCAGTGACAACCCCTTTCACTTTATTACATCCAGCGCAGAGCGGTTTGAATCGTCGGCGACAGAGTTCTTTCCTATCGGCTCGATTCACTGGCGCTACGTAGGGATATTGCATCCCTTTGCATTTTTATCGCATTTACTAAAGGTAGTGTTCTGTGGAATTATTCGGGTTAATTTTAGCCACTTAATCACCAAATTTCACAAACGCACATGGTGTCAAAATTCACGATACCTTGTGCCCATACCATGTGCCTTTTACTAGAAGTTGTCTGCCTCGTACAACTTATCTGTGGAATTGTTTACCACCAGCGATTTTTCTTGACCGATACAAATTAGGAACCTTGAAGAAAAGAGTTTACTCCTTTCTAAAAGGCCGGCAACGCACATGTAAATCCCCTCGGGTTGCGGTTGTTTATGGGGGGCGGTAGTCACTTACCATCAGGTGAACCGTATGCTTGTTCGCTCCCTCTTCTAGAAAAAAAATTAAGACGATGATTAACTTGTGTGTGAGCGTAGGATTCCCGTTCATACCATATTTATTAGTTATCTTAATATACATTTTTACACGATAGCAGGTATTTGCTGTAATCACTTTGATATTTTAATTAAAAATTGTTTGTATATGTTGTTTCTACATCATAATTCCAAATCTGGATCTGATTAAAATATTATGTTTTGCCCCGCCCTAATCACAATCAGTTGTGGCTTTGTTCACGGATGAAATAAATTTTACCGCTTATTAATTCAACCATTGACTTATAGATTACTAGCGTAATTCAAAACGGTTTCCTGTTTGAACAAAACATTAATTTTAAATGCTGCGTAAGTAAACAAATGTCATTCGAAGAGAAAGCACGCTTGTTCATTAACTTTTCAATAAGCAAGCGTACAAATTAGGCTATAAATTGATCTCTTCACTCACTCGTTAACCTTAATTACTCCACTCTAATGTGACACAAAAAAGGCATTCTAAGTCCCAAACATTACCATTAAAGAAGATACTTCTGAAAAGTGTCTCTTTTTGCGAGTGCTCCTTTAGTATTCGATTTCTAATTTGTTCAGAATTAAAGTTAATATTTAAGTCAATGTAAGGCATTAAAAGTAACCTCATTGTATTAGTAAAATATTTTTTTTATACGTAGAATTTTTGAATACTTTGTTTATAGAATAAAGATGTTCGTGTAATGTGTATTTAGAAAAATTTTTCATTGTCGCCGATGGGGATCGAACCCAGGTTGCTCACGTACTTTGAAATTTATAGCAAGCACGTACCCTATGATGTACTAAGCGTGTGGTAGTTTTAATTCTTATGAAATTTTAAAAATTATCACTTACCAGCATGATCAGCAGCTGGGCCTAAATGTTTTAAAGCGTACACATGAAGAGCCCCATAAGCTAATTGTAAGCCAGTGGATAAAAGATGAGCCAAAAATGCCGCACCGCAAACAATCCAGCTGCAATAAAATAATTTAGTTAAGATTAATGATGTATTAGCAGTTTCAAAACGTGTAAGTTCCAAAGATAACCCCTAAATTACACACAATTTTCTATCAACTCGCGTGAAATTGTTTAGAATGCAAATTTCAATACATCCACAGCCATCAAGAAATCTGAATATATGAAAATTTTAAGTGTGAACTTTACGAACACGCATTGTAATAGCGCAGCGATCTCTTCCTTACTCTCAACCCTCAGAAATCATAAGGTGCTTTACCCTTTTTATTTTTAACCGTATCATTACATCAAGCATCCAGCTTGTCTATAGCATAATTGCGTTTCAATGGCTTATATCAAGGCTTCAAATTAGATCACAGTCGTGGATTCTATTACTAGTATATATACCGTACTACGACATCACTGTTCCATTTTAATGTGAAACACACCAGTCTATTTTTTTCGAATAATTTACCAGTTCATACGTTTACTCAATTTTTATAATATTAATTGAAAACAATAATAAATTATTTATTAAATGCTATGACAATCATTTACTGTAATTCCTAAAACAAAACAATCACTAAAGGCTGTCCGCTAAAAATGCTATAAGAATGTCATAAGCTATTTATAAATACTATTTCATTCCTATTCTTTTCAGTTTTTGATATTTTTATATCCCATATATAAACACCTCAAATACTTATCAGTATATAATATTATAGAATGATTTTATTACTTATAAATTTTTCAGACATACATAGCTTAGCAACATTTCATGAGTACAATGAAAAATGAAAACCAAATTTTGGTAAAAGAAAATCAGGTAGGTATATTTTTCAAATTAATCGTTTTATCTTTGTTATTGATTGAAAAATTTTAATAGAACTTGAAATGTTTACCCCCAGCCCCCTTCAGGGTAGAAATGGTGCTTGATTGCTCTTGTGTCGAGCTCACGCCTGCGTAAAGCCGGAACGGTGCGATGTAATGAACGCAATTCTCGTTCACGTAGAGCTCCACCGGTTGATTCGTCTTCACCTTCATGCCATCCTTCTAGGAAAAATATGCATTTTAAAAATTAAAAGATATACTATGTAATATGCACACGTTTACACTTACATAAAATCGTATGCAGGTCAAGGCAAAAGTGAAAAGGTTTTGGTTAAACTAAGTTAGTGCACTTTAGCATCTTCGGCTGTATCATCATTTACTACAGGTGGGAAAATTAAAGTGCAAAGAACGTTAATTTTCTATCTTTCGTGTTTTAACTTTAGTAACGGGTTTTTAGATTCCTTTTTTGGCCTTCATAACACTAAATAACTGCGTGTGTATAAAATAAGATATTATTTTAAAATCTGTTTTCTGATGATGCCGCCGTTCCCGTTATATCTGGCGGCCGAAGAGGGTGATCGTTCCCAAGATTTTTTTCTGATTTAGGTTCCGACGACTAAGAGAGGGACCACCTTTGAAAGTATATATTGCTACACTCTTCTCAGAATTCACTCCAATTTTCCTTAAGCGAAACCATGCCCCTAAACGATTGGCGACTCTTTGGAGAATCTAAGTGAGAAACTTTTTGTTGAAATGGGTGACGTAAAGTGCAGTGTCATCAGCGAAAAGATTAGGTGACATCTGGGTCCTTCAGAATGTCATTCGTCTCGAGTGTAAAGAGAAGAGGGTCTAGAGGACGGAACTCTAAGGAAATAAAGCCCTGAGGGGGCGTTTTAAGGAGCGAGCTACCTCTATTTGAAAGCGAAAATGGGGGTTGACAAAGAAGGCTCTCAAGGTCTGAGTGAGCCTATCAGACATGTTAAGTTTATACAGCTTGGACAGCAAGCGGTCGTGCCAGACTTTGTTAAACGCTTTTGCGATATCGAAGAAGACACCGGTGTTGTTCAACCCTGTAGAATATCCTCCGCAAGGCGGTGTATCTGATTAGTGCACAAGCGTTCGGGTCTAAAGCAGGCAAGAGTGTGGGCAGCGATGATGGTGCAGGTTAGGTGGCAGTCTGTGACGGATTTACCTCCGCGCTGTTTTCTTCGCGGGGCTTTTTACGGCCAACGATGCCCCTGTTGCGGGGTGCTTCAACTGACATCCCTGTCAGATTATAGATACGCCGGACGTTAAATATTTCCTTGCCATCTGGAGAAAGGTCTTTCTGGACCTGTCTAAGAAGGCACAGGTCTAAGAATCGTTTCTTGTCGGTCTCATGGTGCATTCTATGCACTTTCCAGACCATGAGATATTTGGCCTTGCGGTCGTCTAGAATGTGGACGGTCTCGAGCACCTTAAGGAGCCCGCGGATGATCAAGCGAAGATTGCATTCGTCAAGGAGAGCGTAAGTGTGGAAGCTTACAGGTTGGGCGCGCAGGTGGGTTAGTCACACTGCGGAAGTCCTTCGTCATATAAACGAAAATTCTTATGCCCTGGTTGGTGCTTTACAACTTCGGGCAGTAGTTTTTTGGCATCCAACGAGTTGGATAAGTTATTCCACTTTGTGTTATCTTGAACAATAATGGGTGGTGGCAGCTTTTCCCTATGTTCGGCAGAGGACCCTTTCGCTGCGGCTTAGCCGCGGTTTTGGGGGTTGAGCACTCTCCGCGGAAGCTGGTTTTCACCCGAGTGTTGGGGGGACGGGAGGGGGGGGTGAGAGTTAGGCTAGCCTGAAGTTCGGGTGAAGCCTTCCTCTTTGGGCTTGGACAAGGCATGCGTCTCGATCTCCATGTCGGACCCCGATTCAACACCCGAGAAGATCGGAGAGGGGCCACAGGTGGACATCGCAGAAGGCGCGAGGTACGCATCGTCTTAATATACTGACGCAGAAGAAACTAGAGTTAAGGCAGTGGGGTAATGGGAGAGAGAGTTGTCCATATGGACCATGGGTTTGGGTGCATGGCTGCAGCTGAGAGGCTGGCTGAAGGCGTGAACAAGAACGCGAGACGCGCGTTGTAATCAACTACTCACGTTGTCTAAAATAATTTATTAAATATAGCCAAGAAAAAGTCACCGTGAAACACGTTGAATGATTTTGAAAATTAAAATTTTGAAAATAATAAAACAATTATTTAAAAAGAGAATAATAGTGAAAGTCTGTGCAACAAAAAAATATCAAAAGTTCTTTAAAATTTACCCTCTAGCTATAGTGGCGCCATCCTTATTTAGCGCTTTCCTACGGACACTTTTTTATACAGAGTCGGTTCTCTTTACCTCTACACTCCATGATCGTAATGATCTATATTATTTTACTAACCATAATTTGGCAAACAGTTGTAGCTGTTCGAAAGAGTAAGGCGACATCTACAGCGTGGCGGAGGGGCGCGGGGTGGCGGCGGCGGTGAAGCCGACGGCGACGGCGACCACCAGTCAGCGTCCATCAGCCGACCATGGCTACACCCACACCCGCACCCGCGCCCGCGCTACCTATAAATAACTTTTTATAGTCTCATTCTCTCTCCTCGTGGACCTCGATTAAAAGTAGGGTTCGCATTTCATGGATGTTGCAAAAGATGACTTAGGATAGAAGAAGACATAGATATAGTTACCAACTCAGAAGAGGCGAAATAACAAATTTTTCCGTTTGTACTCGGAGTGGCAAAAGAAATTGATGCAAAGGTTATTTATTGTAGCTAATCGACCGGCTTAGCGTTAAGGGATACGGGTAATTTTTCTTACGGTACCTGAAGTGCATCAATGAACTGCCTACGGGCTTATGAAGAGAAGAAGGAGAACGGGGAGAATTTTATAGTTATATCTAAATATTATATTCCCAAAGAATAAATAATTTTTAAATAATCGTCTTTATTCTTCTTTATCAATCTAAAATAGTCCACTGTTGGACATGGGCCGCTCCCTTTGTAGGGAGAATTTATCTAAATCGTCATGTTGACTTTCGCTGCACCAGACGTCTTATACCTTTGACGGTATTGCCTGTCACCATTATATTTTACGTCTTATATTAACGAGGTGGTTATACCGCCTTGTATCTGCAGTGATTATTTTTTTATATATGTCTCCTACGAGGCAATCTTTCGGGAGGCCCATGTTCAGCAGTGGAATCTTGATAGGCTATAATGAATGAATTGTATTACATAAAAAACCAAATTTAATGTCCAAATATATGACTTTCGCTACCCATTGTTTACGTCTTAGCATCGTTAAGGAAATATTATTATGGAAATATTTATTTGATCATGATATTCCAAATGCTTACCTAGTACAGGCGCACCGCTCCACGTCCTCACATACGCTATAGACGCTTCCGCGCCTCATTCGATTTTCTTTCTGCGTGTTGTCAAACTGCGCACATCCACATATTTCCTTTCATCTGATTTCTCATGTATAGGCCTTTTCTCCACATACTTACATTAAACGTTACTTAGTTATTACTACAATCGGTAACACCAATAATGCTTTCATTTTTAAGGTCGTTCGCTGAAACAAGAACAGCTATTACTTGTAAAACTTCAAACTTAATTTAAAAATTTCTGGAAGTTGAAATATTTATTTATGAATTTATTTATTATTATTTATTGCGTTCCTAACAAAAGACTGCAAAGGGCGGACTAAATGACTTGAGGCATTCTCTACCAGCCCCAGTCAACCCAGTTAATACTATCCACCATATGAAATAGGCATTTGACGTAGCCTTGGAAACCCGAAAATTTTCGTTTGTTAATCCTTAAATTTGAAAGCTTTTGTACTTATCCACTGATAGTAAGAATCATGGTTACTTTTTTTTTTGAAAAATCCTTACGGACCACGGTTGCACATTAACAAGCAGCGCCAGCTAGCATGTACTACTTAAAAGGTTTACCCATACTCCTCGTGCTGAGCAGGCGGGTTAGTGACTGCATTACTGTGACTAAGAAATTAGGGTTTATCATTTTTGGAGAGATTACTTGCTTTCAGTTGGTCACTAGAGCATCCTCTGTGAGCAGCAGCTGTTATGTCTAGGAAACTTTAGATTGATATTAATCAATCCGACTTCTATACTTTAAAGTTATTTCGCTTCAAACGCTTCGGAAGATGCAAGGTATGAAATTCTCTAAAAAAACTTGTTACTTGTGGCTGGTTACTTACGAAGATTACATTGCAGAAATAGATTTTAATTTTTTTTTAAATGCAATAAAGCATTTTAGAAGGCGCGAGGTAATTCTGTAGGTTTTCATTTCTTTTTCTTATTTATTATTTAGACTTTGGAACAATTGATATCTTAATTTTAATATTTGTTAGAACTACATTGTACTTAAAAATACTAATGGATGCCACACGGTCAGTTTAACTGATCATTCCAAATGATCAGTTCAAACTAAAACTGTTGATATTCTGTAAAATATTGGATTTTCGGTATATCGATCAATAAACTTATATATAAAACTATGATATTGATATATTTATAATAATCGTAGGCCCCATACGGATAAACCCATTTAGATTTAGTTTATTTTGTTTGATAGATGACTTGATCTAGAGTATTTTTAGTTATGATTCAAAAAAAATCTTTTAAGCCCTTGGAATATCATCAGCACTTATTTTTCCGGGGGATTTTTAAATATCCAATTTAAGTCCTGTAAGTGATGAGGCAATATTTGTAATTTTGGTTTATCTCGTTAAGGCTTGTTAAGACTAGCCATTTAGTAAGCATAACTTAGAAGATGTGCCTAATATATTCACACTAGTTAGTAGGTAATAACCTAAAGTAGCCTACATTAATTTTTTGAAAGTGAGTTTACAAAAGGTGTTTGAATGAAGGGCGTGGTTAGCCACGCCTTGATATGAACAATGGCTGGTCGCAAGAATACAAACCCACGCATCTGTCCAAGCAAACGCATTCATATTTCGTAATAGATCTAAATAAAAATTTGATTAAATCTTTATATGCCTATGAGGGAAATTGTATTATATATACGTCCTAAACTTACCACAGGCCGCCTCTCATATATGAGAGGATTTTAGGACAAGCAAATGTTCGCCGCGCTACTACATGCGTGTGTGCAGACTTCACATGTCATTGATATATTTTTTCTCAATTCTTAGACATGCCGATTTTCTCACGGTTTTTGAACTTAGCTGAACATGGGCAAAGCCGCGTGAATAGCTAGTTTATGTAAAGAGTATCGTTGAACATTAGCTGCTTTTGGTTGGACATTATAACGGTAACAAACAAGTGATGATATAAACAAACTGCTTTAATCTTTTGAAGGTAACAAATACAGACATAACCTTGCCTAGTTACAGTAAGCATAGATAATGGTGGCGTTAAATATGTTTTGCCAGAGTTATTTTCATTTGTTTTTAATTTATGGAAAGAGAAAGGATGAATATTTTTTGGGTCGTGAATAAATAGTTCTCCCTTCATCGTTGTTAGCTTGTATGAAACTGCATTTGCAGGCTTTTGCTGGTTGGCTTCAGGTGTCTATGGACACCAGCAGTAACTTACCATCGGGTAGACTATAGGTTCACAGTAAACGACGATTCAGTTTTATAAAAAAATTAAGGGATTATATGGAGAAGTGCCCAAACTCACAAAGCTGGGTATATATTGTAGAATGAAGAGCGTTGCATACCATCGGATTTCGGACTGGTAGCTTGGTGGAATGGGAGACTATCCCGCATCATCAACAACAACACCGTTGCACCTGTAAATATTTGATAAATAGGAGAGACTGCTAAAATGTTGGTTACCCACATTTGCTCCTTACGCTACCCCCCGCCACCCCCCTCAGACTTCATGCAGCCACCTACAACATTCCCACACTCCACCTGTTAATTAACAAATTAAACATTAAATATTACTACTGCACTCAAAAGGCGCTGAGATCCATTAAATAACAAAATCGTTGCAGCTGCCATAAATTGGTGCATGGACGGGCTTTGATACCAAATAACTACACGAATTTGGAGGACTTCTGGACGTTAACAACGTTTAAGCATGCTATATAAAGCTTATGCACTTATAGGGAGAACAATTATGTTATAGCGATTTGAACCATTGGGAAGCTTAACCCGATTTATGCTCAAAGGATTCTGTCGGTTGTTATTCTTCTGTGGCCCAGTTTTGTACTTCATTTAATTAATTTTTTGCGGCAAAGGTGAATTAAATAAAAAAAAAAAAAACTGGAGTATGTAAGAAATCCATTACCAGACTTAAACTCACGGGTGTCGTAACAGATGACTTAGAAATACGACCAAAGTTACGTAGGCTCCGATAGGAGGTAGTATAAGTAAACCGGAGTCGTAAAACGGCGTTAAATCCGCTAGCCAAGCATGAGAATTATTACATTGGAAGAAGCATTTTGGAAGAACAACATTTGAAGTAGAACTATTTCGGGGTTAATGAGGATTTGATAACTGAAGGGTATCAATGTCTTGTTATGACTTGCCCTGTACCCAAACCTTAACTATGCATAAAATATCCTCCAAAAGGCTCTGCCGACTTTGGATACATTTATATGGATAGACGAATTCCACAAAGATATTTTCCTTGACTGCTGTTAAACCCTTATCAACGGAAGAGTTATAAAGTAAAACTACAACTATTTATTGATATATTATATGAAAAACCCAGATTGAATTTCTCTTTGTTTATTTTATTATCAAATTCTTAAAAGTACTGGAAACGATACCAACATTTATAATTCCGCTTTTCGCTTTAGGTTAAATGCTTGTGTTGGAAGTCGTTATTGACAACAGCCGAAAGGCGAATTCCAAATTACAATTTCTTTAATTTCGGACAACGTATCCATAACCATTAGGTTGTAGTCGCTTAAAATGCTCGCAATTTGCATAATAATATAAAAATAAATAAATAAATTAAATATATATTTATAATAATCCAAAGTCGGAAGAATTATATGCCGGCCATAAAAAATAGTTTGCCCATGCGGGAACCCAACTCGCGACGTTACTATTAAGTATATTGCCAAGCTTTTTCTTAGCCACTGCGTAAGCTAGCTGTAATAGTAAGTAGTTTCAAATTTATTTCAAAAGTCCACTGCTGAGTATAGGATTACATAGATTGTCTCATAGTATACAATATATCCTATACTTATTATCACCACTGAGGATATTTCACAGGGTGAAATCACACTCGCACAAAACACCGCAGTAAACTGCTGCATGGCGGCGATATTAGGCAATGAGGTATAACCTACCCGGAAGCAGAAAATAATCCCTACCACCTAGTAAATTTCCTATCTTCGACTTGAAAGCAATTATTATTTATCTCATCGCATTCTTAAACAATTTTAATATAAGTTACTTATTTTTAAGGTCGTAAAACTAAATGAGAATGCATAATAAATAACGAACAGTTAAAATATAAACGAATCGTATTATTTGTGGTCTAGTGTAAATTTACGTCATCTTTTAACAA